GAAGAGTATGGTTGAGTGAGAAAGTAAATCCTGGTATATATAGAGCTGTTGCTACTAAACAAATCGGTGAATGGTTGCTTGACCAGAAATCTTCAAGAAATTTGGATTTCGAAATCAGAATTTTTCGTGAACAGTATGTCTGTCGTTAACTGGGGAATCATGATGCGGATTTTTTGTGGTTACTTTTCGGATCGTAAGTTGGGCTCCGATTGATACTTATGTGGAGTAGATAGGATGGAATTGAGTGAACATATTGCTGCGAATTCAAAGCAATGACGGTGCGGGAATGAAGGAGTAGTATGTATGGGAAAGTAGAGCGAGTTATGCCTTGGTTATTGGAACGAAGAACTGGGATGTGAATGTTGTTTTTCTAGTTTTTGTAGGGCGACGTCTTTCACCTCTCCTGATGTTTTGGAATATACTTTTTGTGTTGTGGTTCTAGTACCTTGAATGATGTGAATAACTTTTTCGGAAGTGTTTGTGAATATACTGAATGAAAATTGCATGAGATGTTTAGTGGTACTCATTGTATTGGTAGAAATATGGTTTCTGGTACTAAATGATAGTATTGATAAATGAATGAATCTGAGTTTAGTACGCTGAGTTGATGTGGAAAAAAATTAATTTTCTGGTACGTTTGTTAGTCGGAATATGTTTGTTGCCTTACTGGCAGGCGGAGTTTTGAAGCTGAGAGCTTTTCCCCGTCTTTGTATTATCTATGTTGAAAACAAGCTGCATGTTCATAAAAATGCTGTTTCATGAATCATGAGGTTAGATTCTCATGTATATGGTAGCTTCGAGATGGTGATTCACTTTGCATCGGAAATAGTTTTCGGAAGTTTTGAAGATAAGTGATAAATGCTGTTTTTCTGCATGAAACCTTGATTCTCGTTAAATTAATTACACTTCTATTCAGTGGAACAGGACTAAAGATGCATTGGGAAAAGTTGATTTCGTTTATAATTTTTATTGTGGAGACTGTCAAATAATATTTAGTTTATTTTTTCTTTTTTTTTCTTGATATTGTTGGTAATGTTTTGGTTTAGGTTGTTTATGGTGCAACGATGAAAAGGAAATTACCAAAAAGCATTTCAATAACAAAAAGTAATATGTGTATATTAGACATATATTATGGTAATGGAAACGATGAAAACGTAGTTTCAATGATAGCTTTCAAAACTTGTGCAACGAAATACCAATTGTTGGTAGCATAATACTTGCGGCATACGCTTCTTTCACCGAATTATAGATGCATTGATTTCGAAGAATCCACTTTGAGATTTATAGAATTTCGAGAATTTTATCCCTCGCTAACCACTCTAGAGTGAGGGTGCGGGTAAGGGAGAGAATGGCTAGAGGTAAGGGTAATGATGAGGTCGACGTTAATGTTAGCTTCTTTCGACAGTAACTATGTTCATCATCACTTTCACCTTCTCATCCTGCCCGTCACCGGCACCCTCATTGTGAAATTACCCTGTGTGGGTAATATCAGTATTTTTGAAGAAGACCCCTATTTTCACCCGATAACCCCATTCAGAAATGGTACCATACGATAGAGAATTAAATTCTGCACCTAACACAATCATTTATGGAACCAGCACAGCTCTACAGGCACATCCGGACCAGAAAAATACGAATCTGGTGCTAACTTTAGGTATGTTAAAAAAAGAGTCAAATCTTATGAGAAAGTATGTTAACATAAAGAATTATTTAGTCTCGAGTTTAAAATGGTATGAGTAAATTTAAGTTGCGTAAATAGAATGCCTTTATTGACAATTTGATCGTATCTAGAAAGAAATCTGTTGAATCAAATAGTAACACAAATAGGATCTCATGTCTGTTATTGTGATTATATCTATTATTAGCCACTTATTGTAACCATATAAAAGGTTTTGACGAAAAGTCAGATTAACAATCGAATAGTCATTTATACAATTTTAACAATCGATTAAAATAAATTAAAAATAATTATTATCAAATCCCATCCATCATTTAGATTCAGATATCATATTAAAATCAAATTAAAAATAACGTCATTATAATCTATCAAAATTCGATTATTAATCGAAAAATCGGTTTTAATCTGACTTTTCATCAAAAGTTTTTTTACATGGGTTTCACATAGAACAACAGGGATTTCCTGGATCTTTGGTATTATAGTTCAGTTCATGTACGTGCAGTTCACCCTGCAAATTCAATTTCAGATAGGAGAATCTGTCAAATTAGATCTTGAGAAACATTATGTCTAGCTGATGCGCACTGAGCAAAGCGAAATCCACTTTCGCAGTCTTTTTTACCAGTTATTCAAGAGATACAAGAGATACTGCTAATTAAACATTTCAGATGCAATCTTACACAAATCTGCCTCAATTGAGAGACCCAATACAACAATATTCAGCATACTGTTTCTAGAGTGATCATTTTCCACACTTAATACACTTAATACAAAATCGTAAAATACTCTTCATGTGGACAGAAAATTTTTTAAACGAAATCCGAAATTAACTATTGAAAATTTGTTGATTTATTGATAAAAATCTAAAGAATGTATACGTGAAGAGAATTTTACGAGGCAAGGAATGGTGTCGATCTCAGATTCTTTTATGAAAATTTGTACTATTTTTGATAGATTTGAAAAAAAAGTGCTTCAAATTTCGGTTCTTCTACTAGCGAAGTTCTGATTTTGCCACTATGTCTAAGAAAAGTAGTTCGTCGTCGTTAACAACTGTGCA